GTGAGATTGATGATAAGTTCTTAAGTATAGGTTTTTTTTCCTCATTCTGTCTGTCATGTAAGCTGCTTTTCCTGTGAGCGTCTATGCATGTGTGGGATAGAGGACAGCCTTGGATGTTCTTTAGGTGATCTGTCACTGGAACCTGGGGCTTGCCCAGTGCTGGGAACACAAGTGTGCCACAATGCCCCATTTTTTCCTCTGGGCTCTGGAGATGGAACTCAGGCCCTCATGATTGCAAGGTGAGCACACTATTAACTGAGCCATCTCCCTAAATGCTCTCCACCCCTTTGACATAGGATATTTGCCCAGACTGGTTTGGAACCCTTGAGTTAAAACTAGTCCAGCCTCAACTTCCCAAACATGTTAAGTAAGCTTAGGTTGTCTTCTGGGCATTTGGATTGTTGTTTTGTAGTTTATGGCTCCTGTTATAATCCTGTAGTAAATGGTGAGTTTTTTTTTTTTTTTTTTTTTTTAATTTTAAACCCAGCAGCCTCTTAAGCACAGAGCAGACAGCTCAATTTGCTTCTGCCTGGACAGGGAGGACTGGTGGTCAGAGTCTCCTCATTTTTAAAGCTCTTGTACTGTGACTTTGGATGTGCTGCTTTGATTAGGGATGAGCCTGGAGCTTGGTGGTTCCCATAAGATGTTAGGAGCGTTCTTCTTTTCCAGTTTTCTTTGGATTTCCCCCAAGAACCTTTGGCCCACAAGGACTCTTTCTTGCATTTTTTCTGGCTAGAACAGACTTATATTGGAATTTCAGCAGCTCTATTGTATAGTTCTTTGACTGGGTTTGAGTTAAAGGAGAATAAAAAAATAGACCAACAGACACTGAGTGGGGGAAGCGCAGGGAGGAACAGCAGTCCCTGAACCACTGTGAGACATTCCCAAGCTTTAACTCCTTTCAGAGAGGGAAAGGCGGGGGTTGCCCTGGGATTGGTCCATCTTGACTGGAGTGCATTCATTTACTTATGAAATCTGATTTCTCTTTGTGTTTACCTTCTCTTTATGCAGTTTCCCAGCTAGAGATAGCAGTGTTCTTAGCTGTGTATGGCTGCATTCTGCACCTGCAACGTCAGTATCTTTTTTTTTTTTTTTAATTGAGACTCAGCCTTGCTATGTAGCCAAGGCTAGCCTTATGTTCTTAGTCTCTGACCAATCTCTGAATCACAATGAAAAAATATTTTGTTTTTCACTAGTTGTATGCTGACGTACCCTGGCTTAATTCTTTTTTTGTGATGGACTTTCTTTTAATTTGTTTTTAACTTTCTTTGTGTGGATGTGTATATGCATACATGGACAGCGTTCGAAAGTGGCGATCAGGACAGCTTGAGAGAGTTGATTCTGTCCTTCTACCATGTGGATCCTGGGAGGTCCAAACCAAGCTGTCAGTCTTGGCAGTAAGCACCTTTACCAGTCATGTCGCAGGCCCTGTGACTTCCTTTTTATGTAGACTACAAAGTAATTGAGTTCAGTAAAGTTGTTAGTGATATTTTGGGTCAGTATAATAAACTAATGGGGATTGGCAACTGTTTAATCAGTTGTACTCAAACTTGGGTTGATCACATTGATTTATAATAATAAACAACCTATTTGAAGGCTAATAAAATTTCAGTTTAGGGTGTTTCGGTCTGGTTTTTTTTTTTTGGTCTTTTGAGACAGGGTCTCCCTGTAGCCCTAGCTGCCCAGCTGTCCTGGAACTCACTATGTAGACCAGGCTGGCCTTGAACTTAGTGAGATCCGCCTGTCTCTGCCTCCCAAGTGTTGGGATTAAAGGCATGTGCCACCACGCCCAGCCCTGGTCTGGGGTTTTAAATTTAAAATTTTAATTAAAAATTTTTTATTCATGAGTGTGTGTGTGTGTGTGTGTGTGTGTGTGTGTGTGTGTGTACCATGGAGGTGAGACGAGGGCATCTGATTCCGTGCTGCTGGAGTTAGAGGCAGGTGTGAGCCACCGTGTGGGTATGGGAATCAAGCTTGGGTCCTCTGGAAGAGCAGCCAGTGCTCCTAACTGAGCAATCTCTCCGACCCCTTGTTTTTTATATTTTGAGGTAGGATCTTACTATGTATTCCTGGTTGGCCAAAGATCACTTGTAGTAAATCTCCTGTCTCTGCCTTCTGATTTCCTGATTGCTGGCTTTATAGGTGTAAGCCACCACACCCAGTTCAAGTTAGGTTTTTTTATTGTTTGCTCTTGTAACCAGGTTTGAGATACATATTGCCACTTCTTTTCTATTTTAGTGTTTTTGTTTTTAAATAAACCTAGTCGGGGTGTGGTGGCCCATGCCTTTAATCCCTGCACGTGAGAGGCAGAGGCAGGTGGATCTCTGTAAGTTTGAGGCTAGCCTGGTCTACATAGTGAGTTCCAGGCCAGCTGGGGCTACAAGGAGACTGTGGCTCAAAAAGACAAAAAAAAAAAAAAGGCTATAGTTTTCTTTTAAAATACTTTTAATACAGTCTACAATATTTTGTTGTTAATTTATAGGATGTAAGAATGAAATGATGCCGGGCGTGGTGGCACATGCTTTTAATCCGAGCACTTGGGAGGCAGAGACAAGCGGATCTCAGTTAGTTCAAGGCCAGCCTGGTTTACATAGTGAGTTCCAGGACAGCTGGGGGGCTACAGGGAGACCCTGTCTCAAAAAGACCAAAAAAAAAAAAAAAAAAAAAAGAATGAAATGAGTGTTGTCTATTTTGTAGCCTAGGAGTAGGAATGCTTGTTACTGTAACTTTGGCAAATGATTGTCTCTTAAGGAATCTGAAGTTATAATCATCTTATTAGTCAGCAGAGTTACAGAAGTCAAGGCATTGTAAGTGAGTGGCTTAGCTTTGGGCTCAGTGCTGGTAACTCCCTCGAGAACTTGACTGTCTCCTGGTGAGAGTCAGTCCTACCTGGAGAGAACAATAGCGACAGGGGCAGAAGGACCAAGGCCGTATTTTCAAAGCTGAGGGGTGATGTTCATCCTGAAAGAACCGAGACATTCACAGTGAGGACATGTGTTCTGAAGTTGTTAGTGTATATTCTCTACAGAGTGTGTGTGTGTGTGTGTTGGGGGAGTGTGTAGTGTGTGTGTGTGTGTGTGTACTGTATATAGAGAGTGTGTGTGTGTATAGTGTGTGTGTGTATAGTGTGTGGGGGTGTATAGTGTATGTGTACTGTATGTAGAGGGTGTGTGTGTGTGTGTGTGTGTGTACTGTGTGGAGTGGGTGTGGGGGTGTATAGTGTGTGTGAGTGGGATGTATAGTGTGGATGTGGGTGTATGTACTGTATGTGGAGTGTGTGTAGTTTGGGTGAAGCAGGACCTTTATGAAATATTTAGTCTGTCACTTCACTTCTCAGTTCTTTTGTGGAGGAGATGGTGGTAATGCATTCAGCTGTTGTCTGAGGTTGCTAGTTTAAAAACTATCTAGAGACTGCTGTAGTCTCTTTAGACATTTTAATGACTGCAACACGGGGTGTGTTTTGTTGTTTTCCCTGCTCTAAGCTGACTGCTTAGATATTCTTCCTTCTAATGACTCAGACTTGACTTATCCTTTTAAAAAAGTCTGTATTCTTTTTCTATTTCATTCTATTATTTGTTTACTTTTGAGATAGTCTTGCCTGAGTAGTGCTGGCTGGCCTAGAACTTACTGTGCAGTCCATGCTGGTCTTGAACTTGCAGTGATCCTTTGCCTTTGCCTCCTGTGCCTCCCATGTGCTGGGGTTACAGCTGCCACCACACCCTGCTGTAGCTCTTCCTATGAGATGAGAAGTATTAAGTTGAGGGGAAAGTGCTTATTTTATGACACTGTCATTTAAATGAAAAAAGCCCTGGTCTTGGCCCAGGAACCAGGTACCAGGCGGCCTTGTCTCTGTTTTGTTGGAATCAGTAAAAAATACATTTAAATACGATAGTTTCTATCACTTGTAGAAAAGCACATAACTCAGATATGTAATCCTTCCTCTGGAAGTATTGCTGTGGATCTGGTATTGTCACTTGGAAGGAGGTCAGCATATATAAGTATTTCTCTTCCAAACTAGCACTGTGCCAGCTAGAAGCACTTGCAAGTTCTAGTTTGAAACAGAACAAGTGGTAATCTTTTGTCTTTTTTTTTTTAAAGAGGTATTTTTCCATATGGATTTCTTTTTCTTTTTTATTCATGTGTATGTATGTGTGTCTGTGAGTATGCCATTTGTGGGGGCGCCCTCAGAGGCCAGAAGAGGGCATTGGATCCCACCCAGTGTGGGTGCTGGGGATTCAGCTCTTCCTCTGGAAAACCAGGTGCTAGCCCAATTAAAAATGTGTATAAGGGCCGGGTGTGGTGGTGCACGCCTTTAATCCCAGCACTCAGGAGGCAGAGGCAGGCGGATCTCTGTGAGTTCAAGGCCAGCCTGGTCTACACGATGAAGCCTTCTCCACTGAGCCCCTGAAGAACACTGGCAGGGGCCCTCCGCTTGGCTTCTACCACGTCCAAAATGTAGGTCCTGGGCCCTTGACTCCCACTCCCCCAGGGCCTTGTCCAAGGCTGAGCATGATTTTCTCTCCCCATCATCCTTTTCTTTTTTTTTTTTTTTTTTTTAACAGCAGGGTCTTACTCTTTAGCCCAGATGTGTCCTAGGTACCATGTACCTCAGGTGGGGTCCTCCTGTCTTCGTCTTACAGTTACTGGGGTTGTAGGTGTAAGCCACCAAACCCACCTGTTGATCTGATTTTGCTCAAACTTCCACTCATGCTTTTCCATAGACAGTACAGTGGCAGAGTCTCACCATGGCCTTCAAATTTGGGGACCTGGGTCATTGCCTTTGTTTTGGGTTTCCACGCAATATTTATCATAGGAACCAATTTTGAAGAAATTGAGCTAATTATATTAGGAAATGGAAGATTTTTCTTTTCCGTTTTCTTGGGAGGAATAAATACACAGCTCCATGAATTGGGTAAAAACCCTTGACAGAATTTTGTGGTGATGATTGTCTTTACTGCTAAACAATTTCAAGTTCTCGTATCCTTAACTCGCCCTTCTAGAATTCCTAGAGGATCTGTGCAGCAGCCTCTGGAGGATCGAATCTTCCCTCCCACGGTCTCAGCAGTCTACAGCACGGTGAGCATCCCGAGTATTCACGTTGTCTGTCTACCTGTGCCTGTCAGCTTTTGGTGCCATGGACGGTGTTCAATCCACACAGGCTTTTGGTGAACGGTTCAATAAAATTCCCAGTAGAATTAGATGTATGTAAGGTAACCAGGTGACCCTTATTCTCCCTCGTAATCTAAGAAGTGCAGGTCTGCTGAATATCATGCTGTGGTAGACGGGTGCTCAGGATTCTTTTATTACCGACTTTGAATTCTCTTTGGAATACCTTTTTCTTGAAAAAAAATTTGGTTTCTTTAAACAAAACAGATTTTTTTTTCTTTTGCTTACCCCCCCCCCATTGCATATAAAATATGCAGAAATATTGGCAAGGTGAATACTGGAGGAGATTTAAATTTTGTGTTATGATTAATTTGAAATTGTAAGAAGGGAAAATCTAGAGTCTGAAAATTAAATGATGTGTTTTGTAGTGAGTGCTGCAAATGTAAGGGGTTTGAAGTGCTAGACCATTCAGTTAGTATATCAGCTCCATCTGACATTCATGCTGTGAAAAGCTTTAAAAAGTCTAATGAGGGGTATGAGTCGATAAATGACTGTAATCTAAAGTAGTACAGTTCTTAATAGCTTGAGTTATGAATCACTTTCATTTTGGGCAGTATTAGAGATTGAGCCCAGGGTCTCAGACATGCTAGTAACTGTTGTCCCACTGAAAATCGTTGTGGTGCTCTCTGTTTAACAGAACATGCAGCCTTAGAGTTTAAGTGTTGTATTAAGTGTCGTGATAAAAGGCTAAAGGATGCATGTCCTCCTGCATTGGCCAAGGTTCTCAAGGAAGTTCTCTTTGAAAAGACGGTTTTAACTAGGCTAGAAATCCAGAAGGGTTACTACTCCTGTCATGCCAGCACTGGGAGGGCTGAGATAGACTAGCTGAGATAGGTCTACTTTGTAGACCATTTTCTTGGCATATGGACAGCTCTGGATTAAGTACTCCATACTGTGAGGAACAAAAACAAAAAAAAAAAGGTCATTAAACTGAAGTACAAGATTTCTAGAGAAGGAACGTTTATGGTTAAGAAGTGGCAGGCAGTGCAGTGTTGGGGAGACAGCAGTTAAACACGGTCTCGAAGTGCAAGGATGTTTGTGTAGAGAGAGGTTATATTTGAGCATCGGATTATGTGGGGCATTATAGACTATGTAAAGATTGTGCAATTTAGTCCTGATATAGTGGACCACAAATGGAGGTTTAAGAGCAGTATATCAGGCTAGGATGTTGTTGCAATATCTTTAATTCCAGAATTTGGGAGGCAGAGGCAGATGGACCTCTCTGAGACCGAGGCCAGCCTGGTCTACGTAGTGAGGTCCAGGTCATCTCGGACTACAGGGAAACCTTCTCTCAGAAAATAAAAAACAACCAACAAAACACAGGGCTAGTAGCCCACGGTGAGGGAGCATGGTGAGATAGAAGCAAAGGGATCTATCAAGAGGTTGTACAGGAAAAGATGATTGTGCTTTGCTTTGAGGTAGGAGTAGATATATAGTATGTTTTGAAAGTGAAGTAATAGGGATGATGAGGTCTTTCCTGTCAGATACAAGACAGCGAGGAATCAATGGTAATGTCTTAGGTTTTGGCTTGAGCAAGTGAGTCCTATTTATTGTTCCTTTTCATTGGGGGAGTGATCACTGAGGGAGATTTTTCCTGAGAAAATACAGCTTAATATAAGCAACTATTACTTGGGATAAAGTATTAGGTCGTTTCCATTTTTTGTTGTTAAAAAGTGACATTAATTTTATAAATTTTTTTTTGTATTTTTGATGGTTTTCTGAAAATGAAGTTACTAAATTAACAGGTACACGTGTAGCACATATATACCTCATGTAAACACTTACAGGGTCAGGAAGGGGACTGGGAATTCCAGGCCAACCTGAGATACATAGTGAGAAACCTGTCTTTAAAAAAAATGCTGGGCGTGGTGGCGCACACCTAGAGTCCCCGCACTTGGGAGGCAGAGGTAGGCAGATCTCTGTGAGTTCAAGGCCACCCTGATCTACGTAATGAGTCCCAGGCCAGATGGGACTACACTGAAACCCTGTCTCAAAAGGACAAAAGAAAAAGAAAAAAAGAAAGCTTTTGTAGCTATTGTGGATAAAGTTTATTCTGGATTCCCAGCTCCCACATGGCAGCTAACAACTGTCCATAACTTCAGTTCCAGGGGATCCAACAGCCTCTTCTGACCATGGGCATTGCACAACACGGGTGCACTTACCTACATGCAGGCAATACACCAATAGACTCATACATATAAAATAAATATAAAATAATAAATAAAATATTTAAAAAAACAAAAACAAAAACAAGGCATGGGACTGGAGAGATAACTCAGTGGTTAAGAGCACTGGCTGTTCTTGCTGAAGACCCAGGTTCAAATCCTAGCACTTACATGGCAGCTAACAACCATCATAACTCTCGTTGCAGGGGATCTGGTGCCCTCTTCTCTCCTCCTCCGGCATTGCATGACACGAGTGCACTTACAATACATGTAGGTAATAAACACATACACATAAAATAAAAATAAAAAAATTAACAAAAAACAAAACATGGTCTTAAAATTTCCCATAAGTAGACATTTGACAGTGTAAATTCACACTTTGAAGACAAGATCATCGAAACCCTGAGTGACAGGAAATGCCTCCAAGGAAAGCTTCCTACCCACCGAGCCTTGTCCCTAGTGGGATTACTTGCTGTGCAGCCTGGAGGAAACCTTTCCTCAGCTGTTGGATTTATTTATTGTAGTAAAATGACTTAAAGCCACTATTATGTGCAGCACACGTTGTGTAGTGTACCTATTCTAGAAGGATAAAGACTTGCAGGCAGTGAAAGCTGCCTTTGCCTTTCAGTGTAATACCCCCTAGTTTTTTCTTTTCTGCTTTAACAAAAGACATTGCCCAACTGGTCCCAAACTACTGGGCTTCAGCAGCCCTTCTGTCTCAGCTTTCCTGAGTGCCTGGTTTGTTTTCCAGTGTTTCTCAATTAGCATATGTGTTCAGTCAGAGGACAACTTTCAGGATTTGGTTCTCCTACCCTGTGAGTCCTGGGGATTGAATACAGTCTGTTGGGCTTGGTGGCAAGTGCCTTTACTTGCTAAGCCATCTCACTGGCTCAGTTCTCTAATTAAAAAAAAAAATTATTTTTATTTTATGCGTATGCATGTATTGCCTGCATGTAGGTAAGTGTACCCGTGTGGTGCAATGCCTGCGGAGGTCAGAAGAGGCTGTCGGATTCCCTGGGACTGGAGTTACGGATAGTTGTTAGCTGCCATATGGGTGCTGGGATTTGAACCCAGGTCTTCTGCAAGAACAGTCAGTGTTCTTAACCACTGAGCCATCTCTCTAGCCCCAGTTCTCTAATTTTTTTTTTTTTTTTTTGGTCTTTTTGAGACAGGGTCTCCCTGTAGCCCCAGCTGTCCTGGAAGTCACTATGTAGACCAGGCTGGCCTTGAACTCACAAAGATCCTCCTGCCTCTGCCTCCCAAGGGCTGGGATTAAAGGCGTGTGCCACCATGCCCAGCTGTTCTCTAATTGTTTCCCTTTTATAGTACTGTATACATTATTTCTACCAGGTAGGAAAGGATGTGGGTGGGTACTTTGAAGTCTTCAGGGCCACAGGATTACATGATTGATCAGTTTTTTTTTCTATAGTGTCTAGGTTCATTAGCACCTTTTCTTGGTCATAAAATAAAGGCTAATCCTCTTTCACCTCCTACTGCCCCTGCATGTGGTGCCCATATGTCAGTTCATTGAGTTGGCTGAATTCCTTGACAGGCAATAATATTCTTGGCCAGTTTTTAAATTTAATTTAATTTTATTTTCTTGGTCTTTTTGAGGCAGGGTCTCTCTGTAGCCCCAGCTGACCCAGAGCTCACTATGTAAACCAGGCTGGCCTCCAACTAAAGGTGTGTGCCACCACGCCAGGCCTGACAACTCTTATTTTAAAGACGGGTAGTGTGCTATGGGGGCCTTACTCTGATACAAGTCATTTCAGGTAGAGGCTTGGCTGATCATCAGAAAGGCATCAAAAGTTGGACATGATTTTTGGAATGCCTTCACGTGGTAGTCTGGCTATTTTAAAAATATTTTATGTGTATGAGTGTATTGCCTGCATGTATGTACACCCATGTCATGCAGTGCCCACAGAGGTCAGAAGAGGGCATCAGATCCCGAGGAACTGGAGTTTCAGATGGTTGTTAGCTGCCATGTGGGTGTTAGTAGTCAAACCTTGGTCCTCTGCAGGAGCAGCCAGTGCCCTTAACCATTGAATCATCTCTCTCTAGCCCCCAGTCTGGTTATTTTATATTCATTTATTTTAATTTGGTTTATACAGATTTATCTTTGAAATGTTTATCAACTGATGTCAAATTTGGGTAATTGATCATATTATATAAACCATAAATGTTTAAGTATTTTTTAAAAATCCTAATAGTGTATTAAACAGTAGAGGAGAAACGTGGATGATGGCACACCTGGAGTAGTGTTAACTAATTTAAAGTGTGTTCATTGTTAATGTTCTTATGTTGGTATGCTTCTGTAATGCAGGCTGTTTTAAGTTTGTAATGTTGAATATTGTATTTCATGTTTTACTTAGAGAAGTTAGTTTTTTTTTTTTTTTTTTTGAGTAATCTAGTATTTAAATTATTTAGCCTGTGTATAAGTGCATCCATGTCACGCATTGCTTGAGGAGGCCAGAAGAGAGTGTCAGATCCCCTGGAACTGAAGTTACAGATGGTTGTTAGCTCTTGTATGAGTGCTTGGGAACAGAACCCCAATCCTCTGCAAGAGCAGCCAGTGCTTTTAACTGCTGAGCCATTTCTCCAGCCCCCAAATAGGCTAGTGTTTTTAATGTGATTGAATTGCTGAAAGACAAATTTAGTAATTGAATTGCTGAAAGAATTCTAGCATCTGAGTGCTTAAAGGGATTGTCTTACTGATTACTTAATGAAGAATTCCTGTGTATCATC